AAGCCTTAGCACTTAGCTTTCCTGAACTTTATTGCCATCAAAGATTTCACCGCAAAAGCACTGCTTCGCATTCCTCTTAATTTATTATGAAGTATTTGACTGCAGATTGTCTTAAATTTGGTGCACACCGACTTCCTATATTCTACTTATAGTGACGTGTTTCCCAAGCCAAGAATTTAAACGTCTTAGCTCGAGCATACATAAACTTTGTAGCTACAAATCTCCTTAAGTAATTTTGTCTCATCATTACGATAGCCCCTCCCCCCTTTCGTGCCTATTCCCACTCGCTCAGAAGCTACAACCATAATTTGCCCTTCATTTATGTTATCGCATAATCTGCATACTCATGTATTTATTATACCAGTTCCTCAATTTTCTTAATCTCCAGTCTTTGTGAATTCGCCAGAATGGCTCAAACGTCCCAGCTACAGATTTACTAGATCAGGCGAGGATTGGGTGGGCTATTCGCTTGATTCTCCCAAATTCTAAGATTGCATCGGCGGAAGCCAACGTACTGTCACACCTGGACAGACTCGGCACTAGATGTGGTCACTGATGCTTAGGCGAGGCAGTTGACAGCACTGATCGCTACCCCCCCTCACCATCTAATTCCGCCTTAATCCAGAGGTGGTGCCTTTGAGGACAAAATCTTGGCAATATATTCAGCAATAGAGCGTTTTAAAGATGTGCTCATCATTAAAGGATCAGAAGTCGTATCTGATCTCCTTTCGCGCATCGAGCAAATCATAATATCAGGAGTCGCAAATATCAATCATGATAACATGACCAAGACCTAAACGCAGCCAAAACGACACTCAGGACTGGCCCAAGTTTAAAATGATTCGCGAGACTATGCCAGATTAAACGAAGAACAGATAGGATGTGCCCCACACTAAGAAAATTTATAACGCAAGCCACTCATGAGCTGGCACACATCGGTATAGGAGCTTCTGAAGAGTAAGTTGCAGGTTGGTTAGTCCAGAAGAGCATATAATCAGGAATCATAAAAGTGGACCAGAACTTGGGGGGCGTCAAAATACTAAAACATAAAGACATCCAAAATCCGATCGACATTTTCAAGGCTGTCTCAGAAAGATTTCACTATCTTCACATCGAGAACATCAGTCCAATATCATCCTTCAAGGACAACTGATGCAAATATATGTTCAGATATCGAAATATAGCTATAGATAAGACTATCTAGTTCACAATAGCTTGACAGTAAAATGAATAGATCTATCGGTGTGAACGATATTGAATGTACGATGGAAAGCAGAGCGGAGACTTTATCAGACAAATTGAAAGTATGAAGTCATTCAAGGTTATGATGACGAGTTTCCACCTAATAGTAAAGATGTAACTTAGAAATACTGGTCAAATCAGCGTCCTATGTGTTTATTTAACTTATATCGATGCATAGGTCAGCTTTCAAGGCATTAGTTAAATATGCATACCCATAGACACCGTTTACGTTAATGCTGTAGCAACTGATTAAAAACATCGAAGTTTGAGAGGCATTTATTAAGCACAGGGAAGAAATAATAGATCAGGCTATGTAAGCTAACTTTAGCAACATTAAAGATAAGTCAAGGGAGTCACCCGTCTGAAGATTCCTCCGATTCCTCCGATTCTTCCGATTTGCTTCCGTCATCTTCATCGCTATCCAACTTGTCATCGCCATTTTTTTTAGCAGAAGTATCTTTGTCAAGCTCTTTTTTGTCATCGATCTTAGAATCTTTTTCCTCAGCTTCCTCTGACTCATCACTATTGCTTTCGTTGTCGCCGGAATCCTGGTCAGATTCTTTAGCCTCATCTTTGTTTCCTGTAGACTTGTTTTTGTCTCCCTCAACTTCAGGGGTAGATTCATGCTTTTTTGGTTCATGATCTGATTCGCTTCCTGAATCCGAAGATGATTCAGATTCTCTCCTTTCTACGGGATCTGAGGATTCTTTAGGTGTATGTTTTTTTGTTATATGATCTTCATCCTAAGGATCATAACTAAACTTGAAATTACCTCAACACTATTTGGCTTCGTAATATCTTCACTTTCATTTAATTCCGCTTTTTTATGATCCTTATGCTGTTAAAAAAACAATATTTAATGAACCTTAATTTCTTTATCGGCATCAGATTCATTTTTGCATTCTCCATTTTCCTAATGTATCAAAAAATAATATATGAATACTTCTGTGGAATAGCTTTTAGACTTTTTAGAATCATCCTCTTTCGAGATTTTTTTGCTTTTTCGTTTTTTATTTATTGTCGTTTCATTATCGGCATCCTTCGCCTTATCATTTAAGAATTTACAATTAGGCAACTTACCTCTTCTGAGCTATCATCACTAGAATCATAGGATTCACTCTTTTCTTCTTTTATTGAAACCTACCAGTACAATAGTT